CGTAAAAATTCTTTTTTCCCATCTTTTGACAATCGAAAAATGGGAACAGGAGCTTTTCCTCCAACAAGCTCCAACTCTGGACGCTTACATATCACTGCCAAATCCATCCTTGATCTGACGTTGTCTTTCGTCTTTCCAGGAACATTCAAAATAGTATTCATGATATTGTCGAAGAAATTCTTCTCGATATGCATAAAATCAAGATTATGCCTAAGAAGCAATTCTCCCCAATAAGGCAAATCCCAAAATATGCTTTTCTTGACCCAGTTATGGTACTCACCATAACCTTCAATAGATCGAGATGGGTTGCTATGTCCGTTACCTCCACAGTCAACGGTTTTGCACACCCCTTCAATGTTGTTGATGCGCTCGAATAAAATTTCTTCTCCATTCAACCAAGGTGGTGGTTCATCGAATATGGTTTTCCTTTTTGTAAAATCTTTACGATTCTTCCGATAAGGATGATTCGGAGGCAAGAAAGCTCTGTGGCAATCAAACCAACTGTGTTTCCTACCATTTGGTAACCAAAAAGCTTTCGTCTCTTCAAGACAATATGGACATGACAAACGACCATGTGTTGTCCATCCAGACAACATTCCGTATGCTGGAAAATCGCTTATAGTCCACATCAAGACGACCCGCATCTTAAAGTTCTGCTTCAAGGAGACATCATACGCATTTGTACCATTTGTCCACAGCTCCTTCAACTCATCAATCAATGGTTGCAGAAAAATATCTAAGCTTCTTTTTGGATGTTTGGGCCCAGGGATTAAAATTGAGAGAAATAAGTATTCCCTCTTCATACACATTCCAGGCGGCAAATTATATGGAGTAACTATAACAGGCCACACTGAATGTGATTGACCGTTCATGCCAACTGGATTAAATCCATCCGTAGATAGTCCCAAGTAAACATTTCTACTTTCTGAAGCAAACTCGGGATATACCTTCTGAAAATGCTTCCATGCGGCTGCATCAGAGGGATGATGCATCTCTCCTTCAGGAGTTGTATGTTCTGCATGCCATCGCATATGTCCTGCTGTAGCCTCAGATAGATACATCCGCTTTAACCGATCAGAAATAGGCAAATAAAACATCCTTTGCTTTGGAATTTTTTTGCCAACTCCAACTCTTGGTTCATACCTATCCTTCTTACAAAAACGACATTTTTCGAGATTTTTATCTTCACCTTTCCAAAATATCATGCAGTTGTCTTCACATACGTCAATCTTATGATATGGTAACTCCAGTGACCTCAACAACTTCTTTGTCTCGTAAAATGACTTTGGAGCTTTATTACCCAACGGCAAAACATCTTTGAATATCTCCAGAAGATCATCCACGCATAGCTCTGGCAGATTATACTTGGTTTTCAAGTTCATTACTCGAGATGAAAGATAAAGCTCAGAAACTCCTTTTGCACATCCTTCATAAAGGGGTTGATTTGCGGTCTCAAGCATTTCAAAAAAATGTTTGGCATCGTTGTGTGGCTCTTCGGGTACTGTTCCTGTATTTTCTTCTTCTAAATTGTTGATGGGGACCGGATCACCGTGATCTTCCTCTTGAACGTAATTAGAGCCGTATGAATATTGTTGATCCCAATTTTCGTTACCAAATACTGCATGACTTGATGATGCTTCGAAGTCTTCATAGCAGTTTTCTCCATGACTCGTCCATACGAAATAATTTTTTGTGAACCCCTTCGTATACAAGTGACTTGCCACCGTATCTAAATCCATACGCTTTTGATTTTTGCATTTTGCGCATGGACATAGAATGATCCCTCGCTGGATATATGAATTTTGTTGACGAGCACACTGGAAAAATGTATTTAACCCTTCAACAAATTCATCTGACACACAATTTCTTTCACGCTCCAATCTTCTATACATCCATGCTCTTGAATTATTATGACTCGCCATTTTTCTCTCAAGAAAATTGTGTTTGTTATTGTTTCTCTGTAAATGATAAAGAAAGCTCGAAACTTTATCTATATCAATACATGGCCACTGATTTGCCACGTTATTTCCCTGGCCAAATGAATATATTCTTCTATGTTAAAAAAAAAGAATAAATTCTTCACACTCACGGGCTGATGTGTTTAACATCTATGTCATGAGCTATCTCGAATATATTCGCTGCAAGTAGTCAATTCAAAATAAAGTTACTGGCCACGGAAAATAGGTGGCTAAGTCGAGGCTATATTGAAATTTTTCCTTTTTAAAAAACGTGGCTAATATATGTGGCTCAAATCTCACTCGCCAAGAATATGTCGTGGCTATATCGTAACTACTTGCCATGAATTGGCTACAAAAATGGCCACTGTTTTTTTCTTCCTGCCACTCCTGGTTATGTGGCCATAACGTAGCTAGTGGGCAGGAATTTGCCACCCTCCCCAACGTGACGGCTTTGCCACTGTTTAGCTTTGTTTCGGCCAGGGATTTTGCAAAAAATATATGTGTGGCTGTCTGTGGCAAAATCTTGGCTATATTGTCGCCACAATATTTTTCATGGCCAAATATGTGGCTAAATGCCTTATTTCTTGTAGTGTCTCTCCAATCCCTAATTATTTTACAAATCTCTATCATTCTATATACAATTAAATTTTAAATTTCATTATTTTTTTCATAAGTGGCTTTGAATCCTCAATTTTTTGATGATATCATTTTTCTGGGTTTTAGATTCGACGTCGTGTTAGCGGTTAACAAATATTGTAGATGTTAACAGAAGTGTTAGTTGTTAACAATTATTTTTATGCTTCGCGTTAATAAATGTGTTCGATGTTAACAAATATTGTAAACGCTTACAGAAGTGTTAACTGTTAACAATTATTTTTACGCTTCGCGGTAATAAATGTGTTGGCTGTTAACATATATTGTAGACGTTAACAGAAGTGTTATATGTTCACAAATGTTTTTACGCTTCATATTAATGAGATGAAAGAGAAAGGACATTCTCGGCATTTTCTTGCCAAATGATTGTGTCAGTGTCCTTTATGTCCAATCAATAGTATTTTGCTAATTTGAGTTTCAAATATGGGTAGTTCACTAAATCACTCGATATAGTATGTGTTACGTATATGGATTTATAGACAAGAGAATGAAAGTATGAAAACTAATGGAATCATGATTCCTCAGTAGGCCTAAAAGACTATAACCCAAAAGTAGAATATTTTATAAAATAATTTACAGTAAGAAAATAAAAGTGGGTCCAGTCGATCTTATTGTACACCGGGCCGGACAGAACTTATTCGGTTCCACGTGCGATTGGCATTTTAACCGGGACCACTATTTTGAGTAAAACCGGTGTACACGTGGTAAGCATCGGGTGCACTTCTTTGATAATTTTTATAATCTAAACCGTTCACTTTTGTGTAAGTGTGAGAACATCGTACCAACCTGTCTGCTGTTCGGGAATTCCTATTTGTGTTTATCGAAAGAGGTTTGATCTTCATTGATATCTGAATCCTAAAGATAGTTTATTATTAGTTGGTTATTTTTTATTGCTAATAATTATTTGTTTTTGTATGGTAATGTGAAATTTTGTGATTCCACATCAAAAAGAAAATAAATAATATGATTCTTTAAATATGTCACGTGAAGAAATTCAATCTTAAACCCTCTCTAAAAAAAAAATCCAATTCCAAATCCTTGCTGTGTTTCAGCAAAAAAAAAACTCCTTGCTGTGCATGTTTGCTTGTTTGTTTGTTTACTTTTGAATATAGATCCATTTTAGGTTTAGGTTTTTAATTTGCTATACCACATTGTTTAAGCACATTGTTTATCACAGATTTGAATTTTGATACATCTACATTTGGCAAACTATCAAATTCTCTATCTGGAAGCCTATGCATATATATCTTTACTCAAAAACTAATGAACATCAAAATGTTAAATCTTAATGTTTGCTAACACAGTATATATCTAACACGTTTTGGAGTTTTTTTCATAAGAACCAAAAAATTCCATCAAACAATTTCAAGAATATATCACTGGTTCATAAAGGCATACTAAAATTTCAATATTTAAAAAAGTGCATCTAAAACGATAATTTCAATTTGAGTAAAGGCATACTGGAAACAGTTACTTTCAAAAGTAAATAGTTTGCGAACTACAAATTAAATATTGCACTTTAAGCTTTTTCAATTACTAGAAAGTTATACATTTGAAAACTGTATATATATACTTAACATGTTTTGATAATATTTTCAAAAAAATTATCGTTCAAATTATCTACTAAAAATGAATATTATCTAATATCATATGGTCAGGACACATGCCTATAAAAGGGAGAGTATAGCATTACTATTGCGCGTATAGGTTAAATGACAGTTAAGTTTGCATAGTCTTTGCTCGTGAATCGTGTATTCTCTGGGTTTGGCCGAAATTTTCTGATGTGAACCTATCTCTCGGTAGCCAATTAGGCTAATATTCTACACATCGTTCTGTCAAATATAAGCAGTAGTTTTATTCTTCTAATGTACTACCTTAGTGAGATCATTGTAAGAAAGCTTTTTATACATAAATGAATAAACCACGGGAAGAGTCGAATAAAAAAATTACGAGGTGGCTCGCGCTAAGTGACCTTGAAAGTAAAAAAACAGTGAATTCCTTGCTCATGACAAGGAAAACAATAGTAAACATTTAATGAGAAATCATGTCATATGGCTATGTTCATAAAATTTTGGGACTACAATAGCTATCAACGACCAATCAGTAATAGTATTCGCGATTACGAGTATCTAGAACTGATTGAGAAGCATACATTTACAAAGTCGACATTACGTGTATTAGATTTGTTTTTAGCAGTGAGACGCGTTAGGTAATTAGTATATATCAATGACTAACCATAAAGTAGCCATATACACACACACACATCCATGTAATTATATCAATCAGATTTATATATAAATAACTGAAATGAAATAAACCTCAACCAATATCATCGCATGGAAAAGAAATGATTAATCTATCATCTGAAGTCTAGCAAAGTTATATGGAAAGGTGCCTCCATTGATCATCATAGAACATACTAACATAATAGTATAATACACATGAGCTGATGAGCCCTAACTGTATCGGATAATCCTCAAGCTGATGGTTATAATTTTAAATCAAATTAAACTCCAAAAGCATAAAGGATCAAACAATAACACGAATAATCATAATATATCTTGTTCACAACAACTAAAAGAGCAACAACAGCATACGTAGATAATGCAGATAAGACATTAGATTATACATATAGAAATACAAACAATACATAAAAAGTGGGGAAATTTCTATAAACATGATCATACAATTGCACCCGAGTAATTACCCATCACAGACTGACCTTGCTGTGGCTGCTCTTGCTGCAGCGGTAAAGGCATCTGCGGCTGCGGCTGCGATAGCGTTTGCATTTTCTGCTTGTTAACTCTCTTCCTCTTCTTCTCATAGCTAACACCACGAGCTTTGGCCTGGAAGTCTCTTACTTCACGGAGGTATAACCTGACGGCGCGTGAGCCGAAGGGGTTAGCCTCGGGAGGGCCACCGTTCTCCTCGTAGGCGGCACGGAGACGGCCTATGAGGGCGTCTAGCGAGCCCCAAGCTTGTCGGAGAGGGCAAGGGCAAGGCGCGGGAGGGTTAGGGAGGCCAAAGAAGGCGCAGTTTTGGTGGTGAACCTTTGTTTTACCGAACTGGTCAAGGTAGCGGAGGAACTCAAGAACGTGTGCGCCGCTGCACGACGGGAGAGAGAGCGGAGGACGGTGGTTGCGGAGGTATTGGCAGAAGGTGTTCCAGTCACGGCGTTTCTGATTCTCGTACCGGCTTGGGGAAGGGGGTGTTAACTGTATGGAGGTGTTAGGGTTTCTGTTTGCTTGGTGAGAGATCAGTTCCATAGCTTAATTTTGATTTTGGTAAAAAGAAGATGGAATCTGAGCTAGGGTTTTTGTTTTTCTTTTATGGATTGAGAGATTAGGGTTCTTTAGATCATTAGTTAAAACCCAAACAGAGTGAAAGAGGGACTTAACTGGTTGTCATGAGGAGAATAGTACTATAAAAGGGATAGATTCAACTTTGGCAGATCAAATCAAACATACATATATGAGCAGAAATGGTGAGGCAAAGAGAGAATAAAGGAGAGAGAGAAGTGAAGTTTATTGCTGCCTATAGAAGATGAGAGAAGATATATAAGTGGAAGCTATCAAAAGTGGGATTCTTTTCTTTATTTTATTATTTTCTAGCTTTTCTACTTTAGGAGACGATGGATTCACAAAATCACACTTGACTAGACTCAAAGAGTGTGTAATTTCAAGACTGAAGAGCACAGGGTCATTTAAGGAGATGAGTGTTACACAGCGTATAAAAGAGTAATTTCATAGTTGAAGAGAGAGAGAGAGTGTGTGACCAATGAGTCAAGTGGGGAACTTGAAGTTGAACATTGACATGACATGAGGAGGAAGAGTATGTGTTCCTTGCCTGCAATTTGCAGCGACATTTTTTACATTTTTATTATTGTTTATTTTTTTAATACTTTATGCGTTGCGTTGCATTGCATTTATTTACTTTGTTTTCGCATTATTCGTGTTCCCTTGCTTCACTTTATTTATTTTACTTTGAAAACGACTTCATTAACATATACTATCTTTTCCTTTACCCGGAAATCATGGGTTATTAGACTCAGTCATTTCTTAAGATTAAATTCATGAGTGAGGAGAAGAACAAACACATCAAGTAACTTAACTAAACTCGTGTTTTATTTGCTTCAAGTTCGAGTAAAGCTTTTATCTCTACAGCTTCATTTTAATGGTAAAAGCTGCCAGTTGAGCAGTGAATTAGTAACCGTGGCAATAACTCTGACAGTAGTTTTAGCACCAAACTATACGGACCAAGTTCAAAATAATTGACTATAAAATTCATATATAGCTAGAGAAAAGTTCGTATCTTGGATTTTCAGATATTGTTTATTGGTAATGACGAATCAATTGTCTAGAATTTGTTTGATCGCACCGTTTGTCTCTTCTACAGGACCTTATCTCGTGTAAGTGTTTGTTCAACCTTCATTTTCGTCATAATTATTTTGTCGTCCCTTCGTTTTTTTCATCCTATAACTGACAAATTAATGTCTAGATACAATTTAGCTTCATAAATACAGCGAGAATCAAAGTGCATTTATAAGAAGGGTCGGGAACCATTTATATTTAACGAGGGATTAAAAGAGGACTAGTGAATTTTTGAAATTCCTATCCCTTAGTTTTTGTGCTAAACTATCCCTTAGTTTTTGTGCTAAACTATCCCTTAGGTTATTATATACATATACATGACATGACGACAACTTCTAGTCTCGTATCACTTGGTGTAACATTGCAAACATCTCATATGTATATAACCATTTTGTAGGAAAAATGATATGTACATGTTTGTAGGAAAATATTAACAAAGACCAAAGGCTGCTAAGTGGATTAGAAAAGTAGTACGCAATAAAAAAAGGAAATTTAGAATTCTAGTTATGTATGTTTAACCTAAGAATTGATTACTTATATTATTATATAATGATAAATGTTTTCATCTTTAAAACGTGAACAGAATTTATTTTAGTAAACAACTAATTTCAAGTCTTATCAAATGATTTTTTTTTCCGTTAAGGGCCAATTTCATATTGGATAAATGTTAATTTTGAATGATGGATTGCTATCTTTTTCTTCTTTGACAGCTACTGGCAGTCTGGCATGATTAGAGTCTAAAATATATTCAAAATTTAATCTGATATTTACTACTAAAATTTGTTTAATTTTACTCTAAATGTCTTCACATTTTTGATGGAAAATCTATAATATAATGTTTTGCATTTATGAGATTAGAGTGAAGATATAAAGTAACATAATAATATCATAACAATAAAGTAAAACATCAAACATGGGCGCCTTTTAAATAAGAGGTAGAGCCATGGAATGGCGCGTGATAAATCACGCGTTTGGAATCCATCTCTGTCAGTGGAAAGCAAGTTACAGTGGTTTGATTTGGCTCCAACATCACACTTATTGATCTGTATACAATCTCCTTTGATCTCTATTCCCTGTTTGTGATTTTTTTGGCTAAGCATATATTTCCAGGTATATATGCTCCTCGACCATGTGTTATTGCGTTTTCAATCTGTCTAGTTACTATATACAAAACCTCGAGGGTATTTAGTTATTTCCAGATTAGCTTCGTCTTGAGAAAGAGACACTTCAAATTTGGCAAAATGTTATAACTACAACCTACAATAAACTAATCAACATTCTAGATTAACATAACTAAATGTTTAGTGTTTCTACCTAACGTTTGAAGAGCGATTTTTAAAAGATGTTGACTACTCCATACATGGTATGAAGATACTAAGCTCTAAACCCATTCAATGTTTTTTATATACTATAGTTTAAACCTCTAACGTCACCAATTGAAGTTACTCTACCACTAATTTTAGTCCCTATCCAACTAGTTCTGACCTTTAAAATATATGATGTTAACAAAACAAAAAGACCTTTTAAATATATAGATTTAACCTATTCTTGACCCCCCCCCCCAAAAAAAAAAAAAGAGATTTCACCATTTTATGTCACACCCCTAAATCACGAAACACATGTATTATTATATTTTGAGATCTCCATATATGATAGTATCATAGTAGAGAGAACATCGTACGGGGAACGGAGTTCCAGCATTTGGAAACTAAAGCCCTATCAGTACCATACTACCATGGATCTATATAGGGTTAAGCTTTTAAGACCTTTTTGTTGGTTAAACCAAGACTACTTATCTTTTAACATTCATCTAAAACTTCAAAATTGTCGTTCCCATTTGTAGCAAAATGCAATTGTTCCATATTTGGCAAAACAGCAGTAGTATAGGCTCTTCACATGTCGTTATGATTCCCTTCCTCCCTTCCTGTTTCTCTCCCAGGGTGCATTCATCACTTGTTTATAATTTTTTTTCTCTGTTAATTAATTAGCTTACATTTCTATGTTAAAGAATTATCCACATTTCCCCAGCCAAGGTACACATCCCATATTATATGCATACTGGACACTTAGTCCATTAATTGAGAATTATGTATAATTAAGTACCTATGTTTCAAAAACCGGTGTAGGCAGAATCAGTTATAACAAAAACAACTTTCTCAAAATCTTATTTCTGCAATTTAAATTGGTTTAAATTATTTTATATTGGTTCAAAGTTTTCTAAATCAGTACAAACTTGTTTAAATTAATCTAATTTAGTCACAATTGATTAAATAAATAACATCATAGTGAATTATAACTAATTACTAATTAGATACACATGTAACTTTACTTATAAATAAGTAAGCACACATGTAACATATGTATATACGTGCGTAATGTGTATTCTAGAATGAAGGAAGCAGCAAACAACGTATGACAGATAGGCGAGAATAGACGTTACACGCAGGCGTAACAAAACACGACCTATCTGCACGACAACTAAGTAAGATAGCACAATATTGTTGACAAAAAGAAAAGGTAACGAGATATTATACGAATTTGTTAACATCCTAACATTTTCTTAAAGATTCTTTGTATTCTTCAGATCCACCGTTTTCTACAAAGTGTAACTAGAAATTGCCACTTTTCATATTCTTTTTTGTATCAAAGTTTATCCATAAATATGTTTTGGTCTAGCAAACTTGTCAACTGAAATTTGTCCATCAACACCTTTTTTTTTGAGCAACTGATGGATTATATAAACAAAAGGCCTCATGCGAGAGAGCCCAAAGCAGAATGTTCAACTACAAAGCTAAAAATTTGTCCACCAGCACCTAAAAACTTGTCTCTGAATGATTTATTTGTAAATCACACGTTTGTACAGAATATAACTAACGCTTGTAGCAGACATGAAATAGGTCATTTAGACCACTTTTAGGTGTTAAGCGTTGATAGATCATATTCAAAACATGTTATGGACAAGTTCTAAAGACAGATTGGAAGAAGTGTTCAAATTCCGGCAAAATAGGAGTGTTGATTTATCTTTTGTGAAAGTGGTAGATCTTCTTATGGTCATCTGGTGAGAGTGTGGTAGATTTACAAAAAAAAGAAATTCTATATGAGATAGGGTAGGATGAGTAAATTTTCCATATTATAACATTCTATGCTATGCAAAAACATAAAGCAAAGAAGTGATAGTAGTTATCCATGCAGTATTCAGCAATCTGATTAACGCCGAACTATACTTAATATTTGTTTTGATTCATTATCTGTTTAAATATTGCTAAACATTGCTCAATTAAAAGCTGTGTTGCATCTATCTCACATGTGTTCTATGTATTATGCACATATATAAAATATACTGTATCAGTTAAGAGCGTATAGAGATTTCATATAAGAAAGAAAAAAACTGACTTATGCTGAATTTGGATATAGTACTGAAATAACAGTTTGGACCTTCATATCAAATCACGGTTGTCTAATAGCATGTGTAAGTGGAGCGGTCGAACAGGAACCCAAATATAAAATAGAAAAAAGAAAAAAAAAAAAAAAGGAAAAATTAAGAATTTTTGAAAAATATATAGATAAATTATGATATTTTTTTTTAAAAAAATAGATATATTGCTAAATTAGAACTTATAGTTTTAAAGAAACATCAAACATTGTTATTAACTTCTAAAAAAAAATTATTAAATCATAAATATATCATTAATTTTTTTTTTTGAACAAGATCTAAAATTTATTTGAGACGATCCTGTATCAAATACCCATCTGCTTCTACACCTTTCGCTACAAGTACTCCATTCTCCCCCGAACATAAGCCATATCTATTGCTTGCGACATAATAGTATTTTTTAAACACACTTCATCTGATGGCGTATAAAATAATCAGACCAAAAGAAGTTCAGTAATAACAGATACATTATATAAACTTTCAGAGATTCATAGAGTATATACATACAACCTCGTTCCAAAAATGTCATATAACCGAGAATAGAAAGTCAAATCTTCAGTCGAGCTTGCTGCTTTATTGGAGATTTTGAGATCACTTCTTCTTTTTTTTTTTTTTTTGAACACATGAGATCACTTCTTCAGATAGTGAAAAACAGAATCAAACATTTAAAACAAGTAAACAACCAATTGTTCAAAAAAAAAAAAAAATGGAAGGACTATCTATTGGCGGGTAAATCAAATCGAGAAAAGGACTATACCTTAACCGATCCGGTTCACATCCGGTTCAAAATCAAATTTTCAATATTTAAACCGCGCGTCTTATCTCTTCCCCATCATCATCATCTTCTTCCTCTGCAACACTCTGTTCTCACCACACACAACAACACAATGCTTTCCCTCACAGCAACCACTCTCAAACCCTCAATCCTCACCAAACCCAAACCCAACCACCCCTCCCCCCACCCAACAACCCGACCCACCACCATAAAATCCAACCTAATCCCCGCATCAAACCGCCACGCCCCACCAAAACAAAACCTTTACCAACCCTTCCGCCCTCCCCCCTCCCCAATCCCCCCAAAGTTCCGATCTTTAGACCCCGCCGGCAAAATCCAAGTCCTCGCCGACCGCCTGGGCCTCTGGTTCGAATACGCCCCTCTCATCTCCTCCCTCTACACCCAAGGCTTCACCCCTCCCACCATCGAGGAACTCACCGGCATCTCCGGCGTCGAGCAGAACTGCCTCATCGTCGGCGCCCAAGTCCGCGACTCCATCGCCCAATCAAACCCTCCCAAACCAGACCTCATCGCCGCCTTCGACACCGGAGGCGCTGAGCTTCTCTACGAGATTCGTCTCCTCAGCACGGTTCAGCGTGTGGCCGCCGCTGAGTATATTGTTGATCACGGGTTTGATACCAAAGGAGCTCAGGATTTGGCTAGAGCGATTAAGGACTATCCGCATCGTCGTGGGGACGTTGGTTGGGAGGAGTTTGATTATAATTTGCCTGGGGATTGTTTGTCTTTCATGTTGTATAGGAAGAGTAGAGAGCATAAGAGTAGTTCAGAGCTAAGGAATAGTTTACTTGAGAAGGCGCTTGAGGTCGCTGTGACGGAGAAGGCTAAGAGAGCTGTGTCTAGGGAGTTAAACGGGGAGAGTAATGAGGAAGAGAGGGGTGAGGTTAATAAGATTATTCGTGTTCCTGTGGTGAGGTTGAAGTTTGGAGAAGTGGCGGGAGCGAGTTCGGTTGTTGTTGTACCGGTTTGTAGAGGTGAGGAAGGAGTGGAGAGGGTTAAGGAAGCTCCGATGGAGTTTGAAGGAGGTGGGGAGTTTGGTGTTGTGGAGGCTGAGAAGGAGTGGAGTAGGTGGGTGGTTTTACCGGGGTGGGATCCGGTTGTGGCGGTTAGGAGAGGTGGGGTTGCGGTATCGTTTGGGGATGATAGGGAGGTGTTGCCGTGGAATGGGAAAGGAGAGGGGATAATGGTTGTGATGGATAGGGAGAAGAGGAAGGTGGAAGATGATGATGGGTATTATTTGGTGGTGAGTGAGAGTGGGATGAAGTTGGAGAGAGGTTTGGTGTTGAAGGAGAGAGGAGTGGAGGAGTGTTTAGGGTTGGTTGTTTTGGTTGTGAGGCCACCTAGAGATGATGATGATGATTGGCAGATAAATGATGAAGATTGGGACTAGAGGAAGAAGAGTAATACTTAGTGTTACCAAGTAACTTTCATTAAACTATATTACTCCATGTTTTTGGCAAATATGTAATTCTTGGTTTGATTGCGTATCACATAATGTCATTTGTCTCTTTTTAAAATATGAACTTGCATATGATTCACACCTAGTTTAGACTTTTGTGTAAGCTAAGAATAACATATAAGAAGTAGGTGGTGACTGGTGATGAATGATGATAGGTACATTGCAGCTTCTGATAGAAAAACATATCTGCCCTGGTGGAAACATTCTTCTTGCTTGAGTAGCAGTCAGATACAAGTATTAGCAGGTGCAGTTAATATTTCTTAGGCATCTGCAATGCCCAGGCCATTTTGATTCTCTGTAGTAACAAGGCGATCTATCTTATCAGCAAATACTGTTCAGGTGTATGTTAAGCGGTTCTTCACGGTCAACACCCGGAGAGAAAGCCTGCACAGGATTCCTGAATGATCTATTGATCAGACATTGTTATTCTTTCTCACAATTTGGTGATTTTTTGTTTCCTTGCCTTTGTTGACTTTAATTTTTCACTGATTTAAAAACAATTAAAAATATTTATATAGAACCGTTGAAGGGAGAATTTCTTATAATTTATCATACGAGAAAGAAAAGGAACTAAACAAGTATAACTTAAACCCCAAAACCTGATTATATGAAAAAAAGAAACAAAATAAAATAAAAAAGGATGAAGTGAAACAGAATCCAGAAAAAGATGTCAAGTTTACCCAAAATATTACACTGAACCAAGAAAACAAAAAGCATCACAGTCTAGGTTTTGCCTCTCCCTTTCTCTCTCTGCCATTGCAAATGAAAATATCCTTGGGACATTGTATGATATGATTGACCTCATGCTCAACTCCACTTTAGATCATAAACCTCTACACACTTCTTCAGAAACTAATGTACTAAGCTGCCATTTTACTCATAATCCCCATTTTCTGATGACCCATTTCCTCTCAGTCCTGAACACCATCACAATAGTCCAAACACACAAACAAAAACAGTCTTACTAAAGTTACAGAAAGGGTAAAAATACAAATGAAAATAAACAAGTGATATAGCTTTCTTTTTACCTGACAAATCGTACCCAGTACCACCCCATTCAGAAGGCCGGGCATGTGTCATGTGCATGCCCTGAGGTGGTTGCATCATGAAATGAGCTCCACCACCCAATGCACCACCACTGGCACTAGGCATACTATGATGCTCATTGTTTAGATTCCTTCCGGAAGATTCCATACTTGGATGGTAGACATGCAAAGATTCTGTGCCAGAAGGAGAAGGTAACAAGCTTCCACTTCCTGAAGCATCATCTCCTTTCACATCCTTCTTTTTCTCTAGCTGAAACGTACCCACAATTACCTGTAAGGAAAACCAGAGACAAATCTCATCAAATGTGCAAAATAATCAATGAATCTCCTTACCAAATTCAGTTTTTGGTATTAATATAGTGGTATAAGAGGATTCCACGGGCCAAGCTTTCTATTGGTAACACTTGTAGCCTTAAGGAGGAACGGTACCTGAACAGGACCAGCAGCCTTAAGGAGTCCCCCAACTCTACCACCGATGATCTGTCCATCTGAACTAGATAAAGAAATGCTAAGGCCACCAGTTTTCCCACCGTGTTCGCTCCGAATATAAGATCCACTCAGTGAGAGGATCTCGTACTGGCCCTGAAATCAAAGTTTGTAATTCTGAATAATTATATGCAACTCTCACGCATGTTTGACACAAGTATATAAAAAAAATTTAGCTGTATTGGAAGTTTGATTGTAACCAAAACCGATATTTACATTGCCACAAGGGTCCTGTAACTAAACAGTTCCTAAAAGAGACCACTTTCATAGGGTCTATAAATACAGTGAACAGAGAATTAATATATCATCAGCTCAAAGAATAAGATAGCCCATCCCAAAGTCCAATCCTTTTTTCCCCCGAAGCCAGTTAAAGAATTAGATTAGAGGAAATAGATAACAACAAGAGAAACACCTGATAAGATACACTGGTTCCTGTGGCGATGTGAGACAAAGATGCATTAGAGATGGAGCCAGATGCAGAAAGGATGCATAACTCATGCTTGCTCTGCTCAGCGAAAATGGTAATTTTCTGTGCCACATCCTATCAAATTAATCCACACAAAGCACATAAGAAGACAGTTAAATCAACCCAATTTGTAATACCATCAGTGAAACAACGCAACACCTTACGAATTAGCTCAATAATAAATTTCAACTGATGCTAGGTTGAGTTTAAACAAATAGATTCACAGTTTTAACCAAATCATAATACCAAAATAAGAGCCTTTAAATTAGTATCATTTGAACAATACTCACCTCACCAGGAGTTATATTAACAATATGTGGAGTAAAACTTTGCCCAGTTTTCCCTGCAACAAGAAAAAAAAAACTTATGTGAAAGCTCAAAAGATAACAACAGCAAGAAGCATACATCACACTAGAAGGTAAACTGATAATCAAGTGATCCTAGATACTGATCCCAATCTTAAACATGATGTTCAATGTTATTGCAAGACTAATATGATGAGTACTGCACTAACAAAGTAAATGCAATAAAGAAACAAGAATCTACACATCCTTCAATGCGTCTTTAACAATAAGCACACATTTGAAAGCACAGAGAGTGTTTATGGAAACTGAAAACATATATACCAAAACTAGAAAAAACATTCAATATCCAGATCATCCCTAGGAAGGAGAATCTAAACAAGATATCACTCAATCTTACAATCCAAGATCAAGATTTCACCATAAAGTTCACTACTTTACATCAAATTCCGATGAGGGTTTTTGTATTTCTGCGAAAGAGAGAGACTTTACCACCGACAGAGCCAGAAAGGGCCTTCCTTGACCCGGATTTAACCGGAGGCGAGACGCCGCCGCCGGCAGCGGCGGCGGCTTGCTCCCTCCTCTCTCTAGCCGATGAATTGCTAGCAGAAGACGCCAATTTCTTAGCCGCCAAGGCTTGAGCAGGCGTATCGTACTTCCTCGGACGACCCCTCTTCCTCTTCACCGGATCAATCGGAGCCGTCACGGCCGAAGACGGCACCGAGTGAGGGTAAACCGGTAGAGAGGAGGAAGAGCCGTCGTTAGGCGGCGGCGGGAAATCGCCATTGTTGTTGGTGGTGGTGGAGGGTGCGGCGGAGACGGCGGTGGGATTGTGGTGGTGGAAAGGAAGGTAGTAAGGAGGAGGAGGAGAAGTGAGATGGTGATGGTGCTGCTGCTGCTGGTGGTGCCTTTCGTTAGGTTCCATTGCTTTTTTAGATAAGAGAGCAAAAAAAATAAAAATTGTATATTTTTTTCTTTTCTTTTCTTTTCCTCCTAATTTTCTTTTTCTTTTAGGGTTTTTATGCTTTTTACAGATTTTTTTTTTATTAAAAGGAAAGGGTGTCGTGTTGTCGCGTTCTGGGGTTTTGATGTGTTCTCAGCCGTTGGATTACACTTTTGACTTGGGTATGTTGACTTTTGTGGGTTTTGTTTGTTTTTGGGTAAGTGTATATTAATTAAGCTGATATTTGTCATTAATCTTCTTTTAATTGTAACTTTTGTCATTCCAGTAGGCCAGGCCTATCACCACCACCTACGGATAGGGTGGGTGGACACTTTTTCAGTTTGGTTCATTTGGATTCGATACCAGTTTAGGTCTTAACAATCTGATATGCGGTCATAAGTCGTAAGTTCGTAACCACTGGTCTAATAATGGTTTACTAGATGTTTTGCCCGCATTTGCGGGCCTAAATATTTTATAATTATTTTATTACTACATCTTTAACTATTTTAAAGATTATAATGATAAAGCATTAATTGTGTTTAAACCAGTTGATTTGATTAATATTTAGTTATGTATTTTCTATTGTTTTAATTGTTAACTTTTTATCAAAATATATTTTCAGATAACATCACAATATATATATCGAAATTATCTTATTTAAAAAGATATTATTTAGATTTTGGATAATCCTTATGATTATTATTAATTTTAGTTATTTATCAACTCCAAATAATTTAACTTTGTTTTTATTGTGTATGTAATTTATATATTATTTTCATTAAGGGTATAAACGATATTAACCACTCTAACTTTTAACGTGAGAGCTCCGTTGCGAAAAATCACTTCGCAAATAATAGTATAGATTGCTGCATTTTCGACATGTTGATTGTGTTTTTCTATCTTTGAAGATCTTTTATTTTTTTGAACTAAAATAAAGATTCTTTTTTTTATTTCACCAGATACTGTTTATAAGATATTTGCGAAATCACGTAAATCATAACTAATCTAATTTTATCAAATTGGACTATTAAATTTATTTTTAAGAAAAAATAGATTTTGATCCATACATCCGTGCAGATATTTGTTTTAATTTTAGGAACGTATATTATATATTTATTGTATATAAATATTGTGATATTAACATTGAATTATTAAATTGAATATTTGTTTATTATAAAACATTTCTATACATTAATGAATGTATTTTTGTATCTTCATACTTTTATCGCATATAAAATTATTAGTAATACAATAAATAAGTAATTATTTGAATTGCTATTTAATTTTATGTGAATTTTTATATTATTCATGTATATTAATATTTAAATTGTTGAAAATAGTTATTATATATAATATAAACGGGCTACTTATATTTGGATAGGAAAAATGATATGTTTTATCAAATACGAAAAAAGTAAAAATAATTTTATATTGATTTTATATCATATTGTTTTGTATTAATTTTTATATATACAATCACCGATAAATTTAATTTTTTTTACAACAGATAAAATTAATTAATTGCTTACCTTAAGTAAGAATTTGTTAAGATATATTGTCATCTGAAAAAAATCATTAATGTTGACCATAAATAAAATTAATTGACTGTATTTTAAGAAAAAAATTTATTAAGACTAATTAATGATAAAATTAGGATTAGTTTGTTTTTAATGATCTTAGTTGTACTTCAAAGATGATTTTAAAGTTTAGTTTATATTGGTATTTCCACCTTAATAAGATAGATATATGCTTTAGTTTAGTTTTTCTGAAGCACTTTTTTTGAAACACCGATATATGGTTTAGTTTCAGAGGGACTATGGAGTTTTGTTCTTCACCAGAAGTCAATCCACAGTTACAGATGTAACAACGAGTCAGAGATTATCAATGCTCCTTTTTAGTGTATATATGAACTTCATTCATGAGATCATTAGTAGATAACTGTGCTGTGTAAATAAAGACGGTTTTTACTTTACAAAGCTTTTGTGCCATTTTGAACAAATTCCTCTGTTTTTGATGTTTTCTCGTTTTGCATAAACGACATTTAGTTTGTTTGGACTGTCCATTATTACGCAGTTTATGCATCAAAACAAGTCATTTTCATCTGTTTATATAGTCATTTACTATCATTCATCAACAACTTTAAATTATCACTACCAAACATATATCCAAGTCCTAGTGGATGGAGGTCATCATAATTATACATTCAATATGCTTGCTTGGCGAAGTCGCATTTTCATTTTAATTTGGATATTAGCATCTGGAGCAATGTGAGATGTAAGACGGAGTATAACTAAGAGGAACTTCACCTACGATAAATATTGCTAGGGTCATCTATTGTAAGATAATATTGTCACTTTTGTCAATTGAAGCCATTCTTCAAGGTACTAGCGATGGTGAATTTGACCATTTTGGCAAAATTTTCTATCTACAATCCATATTTTATATCCGCGTAGTCTCTTCAAATCCAAAACCATACATGATAACAATTTTGTGATGTAGAACATTAGTCCCACTATCTAGAACTGGGGGAGACAAAGTTATAAGAACCAAGTCATTCTCCACCGGCCCAAACTCGTTTGGCAACTTCGTACTTTCATTTGTTCATATGTTACAATCACCACTTTATATATTCTTCAACAAAATTTTGATTAAGGAGGTGTCATTGGATTCAAAAATATAATTGATTTTAAAAGATTTACTTGAAAATGAAAGTAATAGTTTTCAAATTATTTTACATGATTTAATACGTTTGTTTAATTCTAAGGTTTTGGATTTAGACATAAATTCCTCTACATTTTATGAATTTTATTTAATATTTTTACATGAGGGAAAACTGAATAAAAATTTTACAAGTGAAAATAACAAAATTTAATCAATCTGTTTCATATAAACACTAAAAATCATTTACGGAAAAAATGAATTAAAACCTGACTATTCAATAATAGTAATCAAACTAATTCTACATGTGAATATCTAACCATGTAGAAATAAGAAAATATTTGAATACAAAAAATCATTGCATAACTCATTTTTATTTGTAAATTTGGGAGACAAAAAGTTTAAAGACTTTGTCCGTCTATAGCAACATAAATTATGACAAACAAAAATATTTATCCTTCTCAAGATGATAACCTATTTTAATATTTATAATGAAAATTATATTGTCAATATATCGTATTATAGTGATCAATAATATATATATATATATATATATATATATATATATATATATATATATATATATATATATATATATATATATCTGATAAATCAAGGATATAAATAAGTATCTTAACTGGTTCTCTACATTTTGTAGTAAATTTTGCCTTCAATTTTTTTAGATACAATTATCACAAAATCTACCAAAATTTGAATAACAGAAATTTTTAACAAAATGAACAAATTATTAAATTGAATAATATTAGCATTTAAATGATTTTAGAAACGTGATTACAAATGTTTAATCCAATAACGCAAGAAAAAAAAATTGATGGAATAGATGAGAGAATAACAGTAAAATTTAATGGATCTAATTCATTCTTATTCAATCGAACTTCTGAATTTAATACCTCCACCCAAATGTTTCATTGCAGCCTCTGAGTTAAACTAATTTTAAAATATCATTTCTTTTATTCAAAAGACTAAATTAACTCGTATCTTAAACAAACAAACAAAAAGAACAATAACTAGTGTTGTAGTATGTTATATTCTTTAACTAAAGTTGTAAAAGGATTGATAGCTGCCTCAAACGAAAGTTGTTCCAAATGAATTTCGTGAAACTACAGAAGATGCTCAAACTGTATCACGTGACAACATTCTTAATCATCTTGACAATTAATTGTAATGTGCGGATTGCGCATCCCAAGATGCCGAGTCTTTACAAGTGGATAATGGGTGATAATGTATAGTATACGTTTCCGAAACTACTTGTTATAGACCGATGAGGTGATTCTGATTCAGTTCAGGTGTTGATGTATGGTCGACGGAAATGGTTTCTGTGTTCTCGGGAAGTGATTCCTTAAGCCTTAGAAATTGTGGAGAAGGTTATGATGAGGAAGGAGAAAGTGATCATGATTTGATGTCTGATGATGAATACGATTCAGATAACCTCTAATTATACTTCATTTCACACTTAAAGTCGAATTTACAGTAAAATAGTTTATTCATTTTTACTTTATTATAAAATAAAAAATACAATAATTATATTTTTGGAATAATTATTTAATGTTTTAGTCATTACTCTACTTTATAAATCTAAAATAGAGTAAATTTAGAGTGAAAAATCAATTCGATTATGGAATTAATGCATTTCGGAAAAAAAAATAGTATCGAGTGATACATTATAGCATTTGAAGTCGTAAGATGCTATGGTTTCGTCTTCGTTACTATCTCTCAATCATTTGGGAGTTCAAGTTTCTATAATTTGAACTTTGAAGCATGTTGTTACAAAATATTATACTGTAGTATATAATAATATAAATAAGAGATTTGGTCACTAAGGACCCCGGTTAAATTCATTATGCATTCATCAACCACAACCTACTAAACCAAACAAATTTCAAATTCCAGTTACGTCACAAGTCACAACCAATGATCACCAGAATTATAATTCAAGCCAAAGAGTAGACTAGGATATTGTTTTTTAGAAATAACATACTAAGATTACGACACAACTTGTAGCGAGCAGATATGCATGGTACACTACACCACGTAAGAGTTCATTTTTTTAGGCAACAAACATAAAATAAAATAAAATAAAAAAACACTAAAACGTAAATAAACACGAGTTCTTTGCTTCTTCAACAAGCAACTAAACCAAGCACACACAAACTTCAGACTCTTACTATTACTACTAATACTTCTGCTGCTTCATCATTTGATTACTTGTGCCACACTCTTTCAGTTCCCATCATCTGATGACTTCAAGTAGAGTGTTTCTCCACCATCCCCTGAGCTTCCTCCTCTGCCTTCACCACCTCCCATCTCCGGCTTCCCACGCCCAAATTCATGAAACCCACCAGCCTCTCCCTGAAGGATATGGAGACCACTGCT